GAACGCAGATGCAGAAGATCCAATGTTTTTTAGAAAAATATTGTGGACTGATGAGTCGAAGTTCGATCAAGACGGTATTACAAATTACCATAATTTACATTTTTGGACTCCAAAAGATCAAAGAAATCCTGGAAAAAAGAGACCTTATAAATCACAAAGAAGATTTTCACTAAATGTTTGGATGGGGATTATTAACGACAATTTAATTGGGCCTTATTTTCTGCCAAACTATTTAAACGGTGAAAATTATGAAATATTTTTAAAGGAGGACTTATCCGGATTGTTACACGATGTTCCTCTCGCCACAAGGCAAAACATGTGGTATCAACATGATGGGTGTCCTGCGCACTGTCGTGTAACTGTGCGACGGTGGCTGGACGAAAATTATCGACATCGGTGGATTGGCAGAGGAGGACCAATTCCATGGCCAGCAAGGAGTCCTGACATAACACCGATGGATTATTATGTCTGGGGGCACATAAAAAGCATCGTGTACTGCGACAATGTGCCAGTGCCGACCCTTGATCAACTGAGAGACCGCATTATCAACGCGACAAACGACATAAGACGAACATTAACCTCAAACGTTATTAAAAGCGAATTAAGAAAACGAATGCGTGTCTGTATACGGAATAGGGGCTCCCATATTGAGCAAAATTTGTAAATCGTATTAAAATAAATAAAGCTAATTTCAATCAAGTGCTTTGTTTCATTTCCTTAATTAATATTGGTTAAAAATAAAACACAAATTCCTTTGTCTGCTTAGAACTCGACTACCTGACCTCATTCTTTAATTTTTTTCCGTTTCTACGTAAGCAAACTACAAAGTTGATACTTCATTAGGTAGCTAGATAAATAGGGATGTTTTTAACATGATATGCACAATTGATCACATACAATTATTTTTCACAAAATCATTTTTATTTTTAATTACTTATCTTCTGTTTGGAAAAAGTTGTACTTTTAGTAGCGTTACTTCGTAAATGATGAGACTTTTTGCACACTGTAGTATTGATAAATAAGTATCCAAGTTTTCATTAAGTAAAAATAATAAAATGAAAATAATACAGCTGTAAGTTTTTTTTTAGAAATTTTTGACACCAGACTTTTGGGATTTTTGAAAAAAAATAATAAAACCTAAATATCTCGAAATTGGTCCACATTTGCATAATGCATTTTATGGTTCATTTGATAGGTTATGACCCCAACTATCATGCCTTGGCGGGAATACGTCGAATTACCAGTAACCCTGTATAAGCTGAAAGAATTAATACCATAGTTTTCAAAGTTAAATGGATTTTTAGTAAGGGAACCATTAAATGCAGAATTGTTCACAAATCCAATTATACATCTTTTGGGTACCTGCCCTAAAAATATATTATCAAAAGTTTTTCCTTGAACACCCGATGGAATTGTTAAAACTTTTACTTCAGCTCGAGTAATAGGATATTTAGCAGTGGTAGAAGCTAAAACTTTTTGATGTGCGAGTAATACACTTGGATTAATTCGTGCTCGTCGAACGAAAAGAGTTGCATCCGTAATGCAAACTTTAAACTTTACATCGTTTGACCCAGCAATTAAATTAAAGCTCTCACTCGATCGAACCAATTTAACACTCATTTCAACACCATTAATTAAAAATTTATCTTGGTTGAAAATGTCACCGTGAAGATGACCAATCATTTCTATTTCCTTACTTCACTAATCAATTCCTGTCTTTTAACAAATCCTATGTTTTTACCATCCGTAGAATCCATTTTTCCTGCTGTATCATCATACCAAAGACTACAAGTAACATGAGATTGTTTAGCAGCAGGAGCATAGTTTCAAAAGGTTTCCATGTATGCTCGATATGCATAGGTATTATTAGGTGGTGATACAAGTTTTTGGTTTAAATAAACATCAAGTTGACTAAAAAGTGAATGCAGCCAATTATTTACAGGTGCTACTATTGTAGTAGATATCAAGTTAGTTGAATCTTGATTTAATACTTTTGCTTTTATGTGGAGTAATGTATGAGACAAATCCATGTAGTCATCGCCTGTCCCAGGAACTTGAAACTTTATATGTGGTAGAGCCATGCTGCAGTTATATTAGATGTATAGTTGTAGCACGAATGGGTCGGCTTGACCGGGGAAGGACCACGCTCTCATAGAATACCAGCGTGAAATAGTAGCTTAATGCTGCTGTGTTTCATATGGTGAGTGTAGAGAACCGGAGACCCTTTTTACTGGAAACGAGGCATTCCATCTTAGTCCTCACGGGTGACAACGCATCTGCATTTTGATTCGTAATTGAGGATAGATGTAGATGTCTATGGGCCACAGCAACCACTTACCATCGGGTGGACTGTGTGCTCGTTTGTCACCCTATCCTTGTGTGAAACCTTGTCTAATGAATCCACAATCCATTTTCAATGCTAGTTTGTGTAGACGGTAGTGCAAACAAATCCAATTCTGACTTACGAGTAACACACTCGCAAGAATGATTATGAAGGAAAGACATATTTAATTTGAAAATATATCTTTGATATTTTTTAGTTTTAGACCAAGTTTTTTCGCAGCTTTCACTTTAGCAGTTAATGATGGAATGAACGAGGTCAATCGTTTTCTTTTAGTTTTATACCCAGATCCTGTCATGTTAAATTGATCAATTTTCTCATTAGCCTTTCGTTTTAAATTCGTACTAACTTGCTTTAGACGATCTTTTATTGAGGCTTCCATAGGACGCGCTTGAACCATATCCGATAAAAGTCCTACTCCAGCGCTTAATGCCTCCTTACTAATCACTCGAGCACCACTTGAAAGTAAAGGTAAAACTGATCTAAATAACCCCCCTAAGAAGCTCCCAATACCATGACCGCGTTGGTATGGTGCACCCTTATAAATTACTCCAACTCCTGACCCAGCTTGATGTGTATAATAATTTTCATATGGACATTTATGATGATCACGAAGAGAATTCATTATTATAATTTTCGGAAATGTAGTTTAATACACACGGTTCCAACCTGGAATGGTGTTTTTTTGTCCTGTGCTCGATCTTATAACTATTTCCAGCGTATCGAACTCTCTTCGCATAACAGGTAAGTAGTGAGGTTGAGAGAAAACGTGCATTTTATTTGCACCGTAAATGTATTTTGTAGGATCTAATGAAATGACTCTTAGTAAAGGAGTCATAACATCACCCACAATCTGAGGATCGATAATGTCGCAATATAGAAAAAGTTGAGATGGTAACCATAAGTGTAAATTAGCAGGACACTTTCCAAAATTTCTCTCTAGGAGATTTTTATTTGCTTCATAACCTAGTTGTAAACTTAATTTGGGTGATAATGTTACGGATGTTATATTTTTATCCAAAACAGAAATAGAAATAGTTATTTCATCATAGCGAAATTTCAAGTTCTCTCCGATACCATTTAACACTCTTAAAATATGCTCAACGTTATCATAGTTGGTAACTGGAATATGTTTTTTGTAGTACACTGTGGATGGTTTATCTTCATTGGGCATTAACGTAGATTTTTTAATGTATATAACATTTTCGTGATCTTGAACAGTAAACATGGTATATGGATATTGAAACTCGACAACTCCAACCGACCATTCACCTTCTAATTTAATAGCTTTCGGTAATTTCGTTGATAAATTTGTGGTCTTGTTATCAGGAAAGTATTCCATTGAACTATTGCTGAGCAAAGTTAACACGTTCGCGTGAGCAACCTTATCTCTAAATGTTTGTACTGAGGCGCACCTTTTTACCCATACAAAGTTAAGCAACGTCTAAAGACGTCCCGCCGTAATATGTGATATGCGGCGCAACGTTTCTTCACGTCCGACGTTTATACACGTTGCCGCCACCGCGCAGGTCTAATATACCATACTAAACGACACAACGTTCATAGGCGTCAACTTAAATTTAGGAAATTAAAATGATACAACTGGCTTGGCATATAAGTTTAATCAAAAACAGAGGTAGGTAGTTTCTTTACAAACAAAATTAAACTTAATTAAAATCACAACAATCAAAAATCTTTATCATTCTTTATAATTGTACGAGACCAAAATCTCTATTACTTTTTAATCAGCCTTAATTGTTTATGTACCTATTTATTAATAATTAACAAACATTATTTAATTATTAGGAAGGTATAGAATATGTAGGCTACAGGTGTGTACCTGTTTGATTATGCCACTCTTCAAAACACAAAGGGCATAGAGCTGGCTTGTCTGGGCACCCTTTGCACCTATAGCTACTTTCTCTTCGTGTCTTATTTTTAGTACACATCTTGCATTTTAAAAATGTACTCTTATTAGAGGAATTTTTTTTTAGGTATCTTTTCAGGCCAGTGACCAGCCGAAATAGATGTTTCTTGCTTATTCGGGAATGGTACGGATTCGGTTCTTACTTTTTGTCGATTATCATATCTATGATGTTTTATTAATTTGTCCGGTTTTAGACCTGGATCTAATTTTAAAAGTTTAAATATTAAATCCTCACGAAAATCTATAAATTCATAACTCTTAGCATTACCTTTACGATATTTTTTATAAATATAAAAGCTGTTCCATACTGCTAGATCTAGTATATGAAAAAATACCTTTTTGTACCACCTTACTGTCTTACTGGGAGATGAATAGACCATTTGGTCGGAACGGTCAATACCTGACATATATTTATTATAAATTGAGACTTCCAGCGGTTTAGATTTAGATTCACCGTATCTGTTACGATCGTTAATTATTTTAGGATGGTTTAAGGTGGTAATCATGTGTACAGGTCTTTTGTCGACCCATTTGGACACGTACACTTTATTTTTCCGCGCCCAAACATGATGTCCTTTTTTAAGTTTTTTAGAAACAACTACTTTAGGATTATCTTTCCTGTTTGTTCTTAAAGTTCCATTGTTATGAGTTTTTAAATCTAATAGTTTTTCAGACAAGGGTACTGAATTATAATAATTGTCCATGAAAAGATGGTGGCCTTTCAACATGCTTTCAACAACGGCTAATGAGGCCGTATGGCCTCATTAGCCGAAGAACGAGATTTTCAGTTTTCTTTCCTTTATCAGAAGGATCATCAGTCTTCCCAGTATACAAAATTATATTGAGCACAAATCCTTCTGCAGTCGTCAACTCGTAAAATTTTATTCCATATCGAGCTTTTTTGTCTTTCATGTACTGTCTGAACTTTAATCTTTCCCTAAACAACAGTAAAGATTCATCTAATGAAAGCTCTTTTTCAGGTTTATAACAATTTTGAAATATTTGACACATGTTATCTATAAAACTACTGATCTTAGCACTTCCTTTAGCATTTAAGTCTGAAGCGTAAAGACATCTTAGTATTTGTTCGAATCTTTTTCGTGACATAACATACGGAAATATTGGATGATAATACAGAATATCTGAATAGGTAAACAGTTTTCGTTTTTTAGGAACAGATATTTGTTCTTGTAATAAACACAGTCCTAGAAATTTAAAAAATTCATCTTCGTCAACTTTCCTGAACGAGTATCTACAACTATGTCTTGTCATTGGTATATTTTTAATGCATAGAGCCTCACCATATTTATTTGTATGTTCGATAAGTTGACTAACAATATGAGATGGAAATAACTGTCTGAATACATCGAGAATCGAAGTATTTTCATCAATATGAAACTGGACGCCTGTTGATGTAGAATCAAAATTGAATTGTGGGATATCTAATGTTGTGTGTTCCCAATTTACAGTAGCAGGTGGTGTAATGGGCCTGTTATGCCTCTCCGATATATTGCTTGGTCCTGGTTCTGGGTCTTGCATTGTTATATTTGAGCTACAATCAGGCTCCTGTTGCTCTTCGACCGGTTGGGTAGTATTAGTCTGGAGTATTAATTCCGATTGCACAGATTCACATGAAGTAATAGAATCATCATGACTACGTGGAACATCTTCAGTAAGTGTCACATCTAGATACTCATCATAATGAGTCGTAAGTGTCACATTTAGATACTCATGAGTCTGTAAATATTCGGTTTTGTCCACATCAGATGATGATGAGCTCGAACTCGAACTTAAGGTACGATTACGCAATGGAGCTGTATTTACAGGTTGAGATCTATTAGAAGGACGATTACATAACTTACTTCTTCTTGAAGTTCTATTTACGGAAGTGTTGCTGCTGTCACTACTCACTTCATCATTACAAGGATTATAGTCTCCATCAGATCCGTACTCACCATCATCACTAACACTGAATGGATTTGGTATCAAGCTTCCCGTCGACGCTTCTTCGAAAAGTCTCATAATACGTTCTTCTTCCTTATTCATCTATAACAATGCGAAATGACACCTTTACTAAAGCAAATAGCAAAGTAAATATATATTACATTATGATTAAAACCATAACACCATATATTTTAAGATTATTACTATATTCTCACTGTTCAAAATAAGCTAATACTAAACAGCACAGAATAACCGTTAGCAAATTTTCTTTCAAAATTATATCATATTCCTGCTAGTTATGACGTTGTTTGTTACTTACAAATATGCAAATGCTTATTCTAAATAAGCCTAATAAAGAAAGTTAATAATATTTACTAACCTTTTATGACAAAATATTAGGCAATCTAGATAAGTTGCACGACGTTCACAAATCAAACACGTTAGGTCATCTGACTGCGCGCAGGCCAACTGGCAGTGCGGATAGCGGTACAAGGGAGGGCGTCATAAGACGTTGATCGTGTCTGTGCGCGACCATGTGTGCGTACAAAACTAGAACGACGTTTTTTTTAAAGTCACGCGGCGGTATAAGCTACGAAAATTGAATGTGTTGCGGCGCCACTTAGATGCGCCATAGGAATTCGCCTTTAAAATAGACGTCCAAAGACGTTCCGCGGGAATAAATATGACAATCTATAGGCCGTCCTATGACATTGCGCCATTTCATAATTCTATCAACATGACGTCGTAAGACGTTGCTCACGCGAACGTGTTAAATAAAAACTTTATTTATTCATATTTCTTTTAAACTAGAAGCTAAAATCCAACTGTTAAATTTATCTGGATAACCTTTCCACTTCACTAATACTTCTTTTCTGTTACCTGAGTAACGAGTGTCAATTATTTTATCTATTTTATATTGTGAGGTGGGGTTGTAAGTGATTTTCTGTAATTCTCTTTCATAAAAAGTACCAACTATTGGTTCATTTTGTAAATCTGTTATTGTATAAACAACCCATGGAGATCTATCAATTATTGAAGATATAATAAATATTTCATCACTCCAATTTGATTCATATCCTTTTTAGAAAACATGTTTATATTTAGTTATTCGAACATAATCACCCACATTGAAATTTGGTTTAGGATTTTCTAAAGAAAGTTTGTATGACCGTCTATCATAAAGATTAGTCCAAACTGTCATAATATTGTTGGAATTTACATCACATGGGCACATCTTAATACTAGAGTGAAAGCTGTGATTATAAGAGTATATTAAATCTTGTAAAACATCTATATATCTATAAGTATTATTATGAGTGAAATAACGCCACATTTTCATTTTTAGTGTTCTTCGAAATCGTTCAACAATACTGGCCTTAATGTCAGGATTGTTAGTGGTATAGTAATTAATCTTTTTGGATTTAAAGTATTTTTGTACATCTTTTGAAACAAATTCTGTACCTTTATCAGATTGTATGTGAGTAGGTGTTAAATTACTTTCAGTAAATATACTTTCAAAACATTCTTTAGTTGTTTCTGAGTTTTTCTTTTTCATTGGTCTTGCAAAAGCATATTTACTAAATACATCAATAACACAAAGTATATACTTGAAACCATCATTATATTGAGAATAAGTTCGCATATCACTTAAATCAGCTTGCCACAGTTCATTAATATTTGATAGAATGTACCTATTACGCGGGAATTTTTTTCGAATGGGTTTATGTAATGTGTATGTTTCTTGTGATTTTAACCATTCCTTTACTTGCTTTTTATTCATTTTACCCTTCATGGCTTTTGATAATTTATCAATACTACCAAAACCAGCGGGATTAGATGGATCATAATAAATCCTGTTAATTTCTTCTAGTACGGGGTCCATTTTTCCCACTCAAGCCTTTTTACGTATTTTAGTTGTAGACTTTTTATCTCTACTGCTCGGTGTAGAAAACTCTTGAAATTCAATCTCAGAGGGTTTGTTCAGATCTTTTGCTTGAAGTTGGTTAATAAACTCACATCTCTTTTTCAATATATTACACTAGATAGATATTACAATAGATTTCCAATATAAGTAAGTGGTACTTTAATATCTTTTAATGCTTCAGCAAATCTATCCCACCCTACTGGATCACTTCTTTTTAAGGGTCTTAGTGAATCATTTATTAAATCAACAATATTACTTCTAGGAATTTTTTCATTATCAATTATGACTGTACCTTCATTATCCCAATGTATTTTACCTTTACTTGTTTCAACTAAGTTTAATAATAACTGTCCTTTTTTATTATAAGTTTTTGGTATTAAACTGAGTATTTGAGCTGGTGTGTAAAGTGAATTTTCAACATTTTCTTCACTTTTGATGGATTGATTCTCCTCCAACAAAGATTCAGCATCAACTGAAGTTTTTAGATCTCTATCTTTATTTTTAAAACCAATTTTAGACTCGTTTGAATCTTCATTAGATGTATCAGAATAAATTGGTAATCTGAGTGGTTGACGATCCTCTTCGGTAAAATGAAGGTATCTTTGCAGTGTTTGTAAATATAACATCCATTTCTTTCGGTCTTCCGTCTTACTATTCATAATATTTTGCATTTCAATATCTAATCGAGATAAACTACTATTAACCTTATTTTCTTGTTTTAATTTTTCAATCAATCCAGGTTCGATAAGTATCATTTTCTTTGCATTTTCCATGTTAACTGGCTAGTCCACTCACTAATCCACTCAATATTGCACATAATATTATTGGTAAGAAAGCCCCTCCTTTTTGTATAATTATATTTTTTCTTAGTTTATGTTTACACTTACGCACTAGTTGACGGAGTATATTTTTGTGTTTATTCAATTTTTGTTTATCTTGATCTTTAAGAGGTACTTTTCCTTGTAAAACGTTATGAATACACTCACAAATACAGTTAATTTCTTCTTCATCACACGTTTTAAGTAATGCTCTTTGATTTAAGCGTATGCAAAGCGTTTAGCAAATGTTTATGCGTTGTGAGTCGACGATGCATCATTTAGCAATGATTTGAAATGTTTGATTCTTGGTGTATTTAAACTCTTTTGTGGGGACGTAGACTGTACAGAAACCATTAAATGGGAAGACATTTGTCTTGATACGACATATTGGTATTCTGTTTTAAATCTACCATTAAATATCCATGCGCCTCTAGAGTTGCATCCCTGTAGGCATCTTCAATGAATTTTGGGTTATCTGGTGACACTTGTCGTGCTAAATATCTTATTTGAGTTTTATCTCGAGGGTTTTTAAAATATATTATATAAATTGAGTTTAAGGATATGTCCCTTTGCCCTTTACCCTGATGAAAATAAATTTTGTGTTAAATAAAATACACTAAGATTCCTGTGATGACTACCTTTTGTAAATATATCCACAATTCTTCCATCGGACTCTCTCATTAGATCATCAATAATAACAAGATGTGGGTTTTCACCATCAAACATATTAAAATTTGGAATTCCTTGATGGTAGTTAACATTTGGTAAATTATATAAAGTTTGCATTTCATCAAAGCACCATGTGATCTGATTAAAATCACAATTACATATTTCTGTAACTGATTTTATGAAATTTGTTACAAAATTTGACTTCCCACATGCACTTGGTCCTGCCACAATAGCAGTAAACGGATGGATAAAGTGAAACATTATACACGTCTAAAGTTCTAAGGGGTGAAATAAAAAATGAAAGTGTTGGTGTTAACAATTAATATATATTGCAAACATTATATAAAACAGAATGATCTGTATACTATTTCTAACACAATTAGTACATCATAATTTTACAATCAACTCAACCTCAAATAAATACACACACACACACGCAAATATAAACAACAATTAACTTAAATTATTTACAATAAAACAACGATTAAATATGTAATAAACTTTACGTCATATTATACTATTGTTACGAGCTTGAGGTTCGTGACAATAAAAATTGCCGATAAAATTACCTAAATTAACACTTTAATTTTCTTTACACAAATTTAAACTTAAAACACTAATAATTAATCCCACTGATTCACTTTATTTCGCTCCGAAGCTTCGCTTGTCTCGCCAAATTCAATACTTCCCCGATCGCGTATTGCAGCGCCTTTATATAGGGCTCTTCTACGAAACATCCAGAATATTTCAGAATATTCGAGTAAGTACGCGCGCCAACCGACCAAGCGCAGAAAGATCGAATGTAGAGCTTCTAGAAAGTTTAGTTCTTCAATTTGATACTAGATGGCGCTGTCGGTTAAAAAATTAGTCATGTCATTTTCTGGAAAGCTCTCTCCTCGCTCTGTTACCCGACACTAGATGGCGCTAGTGCCATGAGATGAGATGTCAACTTAGCCGCGCAACACTATTATCATTATTTTACAATCAATAGAAATTTTATTTACATGCAGACATAAAATTAAAAACTATCAACACTTAACGCAGTTTATAATGACCCCAAGCTAATGTTTCAATATTATTATCTAAAATATGCCTCTTTGTGTCATTATATGATAAACCAATCTTATTTAATTTTTGTATAAAAATTGTGTGTTTAATTGATTTAAATCTAAGCATACTATAATATTGCACTTTTTTATTTAATAGAGAAGACTTATAACTATCCATGGTCATCTTTTTAGTGATACATTTATTTACCCCTTTTGCCTTGGCTATAGTCTTATTCTCTAAGTTAAAAGCGTACATTTTGGATCGTAAACCCACAAATTCTTTCATGATTTTACCATTATTTTCATCTTTAAAAAAACCTAATTTCTTTTTATTTAATTTTGGATATTCAAAAATATTATTTGTATCATAAGCTGAGGTATCAAAGTATGATGAAAGGTCAGGTTTTATATCAGAGTAAAAATCATCTGTAAATATATGATATATTAAATTATCCGTATCTGTATACAATAATTTGATTTTACTAAACTTTTTAACCATATAGTTATAATGAAAATCATACATTAATGTTTTTGAAATATCTAAAATGCAAAACCCTAAATAAATTGGTTTGTTATATATTAACTTCGTTTTTCGCAACTGAACCGCAACTAGGTTTTCCGAAAATACTGAAAGACTATGAAATTGTGGTTTAGCGATTAGATCTTGAGCACCTAAAGCTTTGCCCTGGTTCTCCCAGTGTGGAACTAATTTTATGTTAACCCTTTTTTCAATATTCTCCATAGTCTTACCGAAGACTGAATTATTCATTAATTTATAAAAATCTTTTTCGAAATCTGATTTTGCTAACGTTCTTAATTTTGTGTTTAGATCTATGTACATCTTCAACCAGCGAGACTGTTTAAATTTTAAAACTCTATGAATTTTAGTTAATTTAACCCCCATTTCTACGCACTGCTTTAAATTTCTGTAATGAATTACATATTTATCTTTATTATTTAAATTTGGGACTAGTTTATTTTCATTAATATTGCCTGCACAAATGTTTTCGGGGCATAAAGGAAAGTCCGAATGTAAATCATGAAGTTCATCTGGATATTCCAAATCAACTTCTAAAATAAAACCGAAGTTCGATGTCTCAGATACATTAAATTCTGTATTCGGATTTACCCATTCGAATCCACCAGTAGGAAGACATTGAGACATAGCCCAACCATATAAATTGTTGGCATCAAAATATGTGATATATGAATTTGGTTTCCCTGCATCATAATCCCCCATGTATTTGTTATTAGCTCTAGCATACCGATTACTACATTGAGATACACCACCCCTGATACCTGATCTAATAAATGCAATTTTCTCATAATCTGTTAAAAGTTCTAATTCTATTTTTGTATATTTTAACATTGCATCCCAACTTAAACCGGGTGCTGTGTAATAATGGGCAGGGTCTAAATCATAAGTATTAATACATAACTTTCTAAAGTTTTCAAATACATCGGATAAAAGTAAAACGTCTGTTTTTAAATACAGGTTTGAATAATCTTGCATATTACAACACCCAAAGTGTTCCCAAACATCTTTAGCATGATTGTAATCATCATTTGAAATATGGGAATCTGTGAGCGAGCTATAAAAAAATTTTTGTTCGGGGGAGCGATGTTAGGCTTAAACTATCATAATTAGTCATAAGTTCATATGGATAAACGCCTTTCCGTTTTAAACGAAAGAAATCTTCATCATTAGGATAATTTCTACGTAATTCTTGAAATTGATCATTACTGAGATTTTTGGCCAATTCTTCTAATTTACATGATAAAAAGTTAAATGAATCTATGAATATTAATATAATTTCGTGGTTATTCATTTTTAATTTTTTGGAAAAGGATATATATTTTTCTTTATTTTGAGGGATAACTTCGACTTCACCATTACAAAAGTTTAACGCGTGAACAATAAAGTGAGCATCATAGTGACTAAGGTTGTGTAAAAATATTGGTATATAACGAGGTTTTCTGAACTTCGAGCTACATGATTCGTGAGCAACACCTATAAAACTACCGGTGTACCAATCAAAATCATAAAAATGTTCTGCAAAACTCTGTTTCACAAATATGACAAATGGTTGCATTTGAAATTCGGTTTTTGTCTTGATTTGTTAGCGGAAGTAGAGGATATTTTTGAAGTCTATTTATTTCTTTGAGATTGTTAGATAAACTTTCCATAAACACTTGTGCACAGTTGGGTCCGCAATATGTTACATATTTTGATAATTTATCATCATATGAACATTTTATATAATAACCAAAACTATGTACTTCATGTTTCTGAATATTGTGTGTGAAAGGTTTGGAAGGATCGTTAGAACATGATTCTATTGGTTTTAAAAATGCTTCAAAATCAGCATAAACTACGAATGGTATCTTTAACTTTTTTTCATAACTATCAAATTTAATTTTATCATTTGAAATAGGTTGACCAAACCAATTCTTTTTTTTAAAGTTTCACTGTTTGGTAATTCTGTACAAATGTGGGCACAATCGTATTGTTCATGGTTATTTAAACTTTCCTGAGATGGAAAGTGAAGTAGACATGCTTCGCAAATGTACATGATGTGACCGTCTTTTGAAATTTGTTTACTAACTAACCGCGATAATTTTTTTATGTAACAATAATGATTTTTTGTATCCTTGGAAAAAAATAATAAATTGATATGTCTATCTTTACGACACTTTGTTAAAAATAATGGACCTGCTATAGAATTACATCGTTTTTCTTTATTATATTCTAACCCAAAAACATTAATACTAATATCATTTAATTTCTCTACTTTTGCTATGTCAGAAATTTTAACTGGAAAGGAAATACCATCAAATTTAAGTTTATTTGCATGTTTAACGTACGATGATACACGATCCGCGTCTTTGTTTACGGGATATAACGCCGAGAGTAACACCCATTTAAAACAAAAATAATCCTTGCTTTTTACATTTATAACAGCCTTTTTTAATTTTATGTCACGAGGAAGATCTACGTATGAAGTACCGCGAAGGGGGTTAAATTTATTAACATTCATGTCTATAGATTTTATGTTTTTTAGACTCCATCCACTATCTTTTTTTTCAAATGCACTAATTTTAGTAGTAATTGTATCATTTAAAGATGAAAAAAAATATTTAAGTCATCTCCTTGACAAATAATATAGTTAACCCTTACAAGCTTATAACTATTCTAAGATAGTTAAAATGATTTTTTTTATTTATGTCTATTTATTTTGGTCTAATTTAATTAAAAACGTATAAATAAAACCATATTTATGTATATTTCCATGTTTTTGAGAAGGGGACATAAGTGTCCCAATATGCGTTAAGGTACATTTTTCTTATGTACGGACAAAAAATACTAGAATGATTTTATTGTGAAATAAACACAAACTATGATATAAAGTACAAATTATTTATTGTAGAAATTATTTATAAAACGAAAATAAAACTTAGTGGTACTCTACAAAGCAGTTGCGGTCTGTAGTAAAACATAAATGAACGTTGCATGTAGAGCAAGTGTTATTTGTGCGATTCTCTATACGGCTTTTAGCACACTGTACGCATCTTTTTCTGTTACTTACTTTCACCATTACGTGTGAAGGTGTACCGCGCTTCTGTGTATAAGAAATTCGCTTTTTCGTCATAACAACTGACGACAAAGATCTTTGTCGAGACGAAAAGCTACCAATAAGTGACCGAGCTACTACTTGGTGAAATTCTAGGCTCGTAAGCGGAGTTCCTTCAATACGTTTTGCTTCATGCAGCTTGCAATAAATCACATATGAATTATTCATCGCAATATCTAGTAAGTCAAAAAACAACCTTAGGTAGTATTTTATTTTTGCTTTTCGATCCACTTCATAGTATACTTTTTTCTGGTCCATCAGATCGACCCCTCCCATATGTTTATTATATTTTATTATAGCTTCAGGGCAAATTACATTCACCTTTTCAGCACTACCAGAAACACACTTCTTGACTATCGTCGTAGGTATGGGTGATAAAAAATTTGTTAGCAGAAACACGGCTTTGTTATCCATCCATTTTATGAAAGATATTCCATTGCTGCTGGCTACAAAAATATCTCCACGATTCATATTTTTATCTGTTGGCATATTTTTCGGTACATTTTTCCTGTTTGAGCGCACTGTTCCACACGCTTTTATATTCTTATTCATCAGTGTATACTGAAGATTAGGAGAATTGAAAAAAATATCAAAGTATATTTCACACCCTATGCCCTGTAAGCTTTCAGACAATTGCAAGACAACCGATTCACCCAATCCCGTTTCAGTGCCACCTCTTTTCTTCCCAGTATACAAATCAAACTGAAATAAATAGCCAATGCAAGAGCATGTCCTACACCACATCTTGAACCCCCATTTTATTGGTTTATTTTTTACGTATTGCCTCATTATGTTATGCCCCTTGAACTTGATCATGTGTTCGTCTATTGTCTGGGTTTTGGTGTTAGCCATAGCTCTTTGAAAAGCATGGTTGAAATGATCTATAACAGGTCGTATTTTGAATGCTCTATCATAAGACGGATCGGTTCTATTAGGTTTATTAGAATTGTCACTAAAATGCAAGTTCCTACGTATTTCTTCAAAGCGGTTTATAGGCATCACATTAGCAATGTAAGGAACTCCCATGTCAGGATCTGTAGACCAATAGCTCCTGAATGTAGGTAAACAATGATACCCCATCACAAAGTTCATGCCGAAGAAAGCTTTGGCTTCTTGATCAGTCAACGTAAAAGATCTTCCATTTTGATGAGCGTAGCGTATGGATTCACGAACAATAATCTCCTCTACTAATTTTTCGAAGCCTGTAGCCGCATTGAAAATTTTTACAGGAGTCAGTTCCGTATCAGAAGTTTGATCAAAAATGTGCACCTCGCCGAAGTTATACTCTTCCATTTCACAAAAATTATGCGGAGAATATGAATTTTTTCGCCAGTAGAAATAAGGGACATTAGAACTAGGCTGTTGATTTTCAATAATATTCTCTTCTGGAGATGCTGACCCCGGTTCAATTTCAACAGTTGAAATACCCGTGTCTATATCTTGCTCTAAAAAAGTTTGATCCTCTTCATCAAGGACTAAACCCTCCTCATCGTCGCTGTAGTCAGCCATCAAGAATTCTATAATTTCGCCGCAATGAAAACTCTCTACGTCGATTGGAAGACATGGTCTGTAACCAAATAGAATATACAAAATAAGAATAATAAACAAAACAAAACAGTATAGCAAAAAATATTACCCGCTTGAAGCCAGCCTCCCTTGATGCATATAGGGACACCCGCGTCCCTTTACATTTTTTACATAGTACGCCTTATTTTTACAAAGAAAACCAAAAATATGTACCAAAACAGTAATTATACTTACCAGTGAATATAATTCTGAGAAGAAACTGTGGTAAAAAGTAGATATTTAATAAAAAAATATTTTTTAATGTTCACGTCCTTCTGACAAATATGTCACTTTTCGCGGCATTAACTTTTTTGACAGATGATGTCTTTACTTAGTGTTGCCAGCGCGCAAACGCGAAAAGGTGCTATAAAATTTAATAATACTTTAAAAAAGGTTTAACTCGGCCAGTATTACTGTAAATCGTAAAAATTAAGTGGGGACAAATGTGTCCCATATGCGTGAAAGAGGTAAGCGTTTGAAAATCGAACGTATCATGAATATCTTTAGTTTGTTGAACAAAATCAGCATGCAATATGAAGTTTACTTTAAAAATTATGTGTTGATGAATACACTCTTGTATTAAAAATAAAATATCATCTTTAATAGAATTTAAAAATAGTTCAGGAGTTTCAAAATTTACCAATGTCGAACTATCTACTCTACTCTTGATTTTATAAGTAAAATCCTATTTCCAAAAGCAGATTCAATAACACTAACGTTTGATAAAGAATTATGTGAATTTAAAAGATTATTTTTGTGAACATTACTTTTAAAATGATTAGCTAAATATCGTTTCTTGATAAATATATGATACGTTAGACATTCCACTTGATCATCGTTACTGATACTGTTCCCTGCAGAGGTAGGCGCTTCTGCTTCCGTTGTTGGTTTTTTAATGATCTTGGGTTCTTTGCTGCTCGTTCGCTTCGTTCCTCTTCCAAGTTGTAGTGGTTGACTACTAAAATGTTTAAATTTATTAAAAACTGTACAAGACATTGTGTAAATTATGATCGAAATGAATGTTTATTTTACTTACTTAAACTGTGTTTCAACCATCGCACAGTGATTATACAACTCATCATCATACGATGAATCGAACAGTTGATCCTTCTCCATTTCATCACAAACTTTAGACAACTCCTGATTTAATTCGCTGTTGAATAGTTCCGTATTCTCTTCCATGGTTGTGGAGAAGAAAGCACTGGTGCACACTTCACTGAAGTTTGCCATCCTTATAGTAAAGAAGAAAATAGGTAGCAGAGTAAGTAACAGTTCAGTGTTGGTAGACCAACTGATACCCAAATTTCAAATAATGTCCGATATTTAAGTCTAACAAAGGATTAGAAATAGAATATAATGAGTACAAAGAAGTAATTTAAGTAAACAGAATCACATTCACTAATGATCAGCTAATGACTGTCATTGTTATAAAAGTATTTTTTAACTTTTTCACTTTCTGCTATTGTCTTTGTAATATTGTATACGAGGGCGTTTGTGTTGTCGTAGATGCTATCCTTATTAGTCTTTACGTAATATTTAATCCTCGTGGAAGCATGTTTCCAATGAGTTTCCAGTAGTTGGAATCTTGGATAGCTTCTTCATATCGCACATTTCAATTTTGATGAGATGCGTCGCTTGGTCTCCGTCGTCAGAATTAGTAGAGTAACACCATCTCTAGCGGCTCGTGCTACGGTTGATGATAACAGCTTCCTCTTTTTTATTTTTGATTCAGCTTCAAAAAAATGATCAATCGATTGCGATTTTCTTTTTCCACCATCGCATGTGTTATTATTAATGACGATGTCATCACTCTCTTCTTGAGGGGAGAGTGGCGAGTAGTAATACTGTTTATAGGTATTTTCATCGAAGCTCAATAATTTCTGCAACAACACAGTTATCATGTTAATATCAATTTGTTAACGCTTAATCATAAAAGTTAAAAAAGTTAAAGTTACAAACTATTAAAGTCCACTGCTGAACATTGGCCTCCTCTCATTTCTGAGAGGGTTTTAGGGCTAGGAAATGTTCGCTGCGCTGCCTCAATGCGTGTTGGCAAACTTCACATGCCTTCGAAATTTTCTCAGACATGCATTCCTCACGATGTTTTCCTTCACCGCTGAGCACGTGGTAAATTAGCAGTTAAAATTGCAATTAACAATTTAATTGGAGCCGGCGGGGATCGAACCCGGGTCGCGTACTGTGAATTTTACATTTTGCGCTAACCATCTGAGCTACCACGGCTTAATCATATACACACACATAATATTTAAATATAATTTGTTAACACTAAATCATACACACGTAAGAAAATAACAGAAAGAAAAGTAAGTTTGTCAATAGAATAAACACTTACATCCATGGCCTTTGATGCGTTGAAGTAACACAAATGTAGTATTGATAGATCCACTGCGGTCAAACGATCATACACTAACTCCATGACTGCAGTTGCTTGGTCTTATATAGTACCAGTGAGTAATAACTCTAATCTAAAGAATTTCTGCAGTAGAATTGATAGTAACTTTATGCGTCAACAAGCTTATCTCACATTCTGTTGCTTATCTCAACATTCCTTCGTCCTTCCTGTCGTGTCTTGTTCAGTGCATTGATGACTCAAATACGTTTTGTATTACACAAAGAATGCAATTTAATATTTAGAAATCACTATAATTGATCATTCCTATATTAGTCATTGAGTAGATTGGTACTGTAATAATCTACTAATAGCAGTAATATTATGGATATACTATGTATGTACAACAACATCCGAAAAAGATTCACCCCACTCTAGAAAATAATGTTTATGCTGCCAATAAACTACCCATGTACACCCACGTACCAACGTATATAATATGCAATTTGGATACAGATGATAAACCAGGGTCACATTGGGTAGCTTTATATATCGATACGAATGACGTCGGTCAATATTTTGATTCATTCGGACGGGCAACTGTACGATATCATCTAGAGTTTTTTAAAAGAAATTGTAAAAGATGGAACTGGAATGTTGATAGGATTCAGAATGAGTGGACTTCAGTTTGTGGCGAATATTGCTTAATGTATTTGCTATATAAGTTTCAGGGATGTTCAATGCATAGTTTTACGAGTATATTTACAGGGAACACATTGTACAACGATATTTTAGTGGATGAGGTGTTTCGCTCCTATTTTATAGATAATAAGTAATAAGATTTTGTATTTTGTAAATAAAAATTTTAACAAAATTAGGTAATGTGTTTTATTGATGAGTCAGATTAGTGTAGATAGGAACAAAGGAGAACAATAGCACCACGCTGAGGAAGAATAGATAATGACGGTATTCAATGAACAATAGATAAGTAGATAAGAACAATGGAGCGCTAATGACGGTGGAGGCCTTCTCCGGATATCAATTAGATAAGAGTTAATTGATCTGCACGTTTCCGCAACCGTGCATCCTACGCAAAAATGGACCGCAGATTCGTGATCAGAGCATGCCAAAACCTTTTTTTTTTAGGATCGTGAGTCGACGAACGTCGTACTTGTACCACTTCTGACTCAGTGCGCCAGAACTGGTACAACGTAACTACTCATAAACGCAAGTTACATTTATTGCAAAATGCACTTGTATATCCTTTTTTTACAATATTTACATTTACCTTGCGGTACAAATGTTGGTAAGTGACCAACACTGTCATATCGCACAGAATCCGGTGGTCTTGGGGCTGATGGAGTCTTTATCTTTACAGTAGGCTCATTTTCTTTTGCATCTGACTGCCGAATCCTGTTAAATTGTAACAGTTCATTTGCTAGCTCTACACGGAATACTTTAAGAGGGAGACTTTTCTTATCAGCTGGACGATCTCTTCTATAAGTAAGCCATGCATTGTTCACACAAATATCAAGTGATTGAGCAAATAATGCCATATACCATCGCTTGGTCTTAAAGTTTGAACGATACAATGATATTAACATATCGGCTAAATCGACTCCATCCATATGGGCATTGTATTGCTTTACAATTTGTGGACACTCTATTGCAATTCTCGATTTAGCCTCTTTAGAGTATCTCTTAATTTTTTCCTTTGGGTGGGAGTCCACAAATGAACTTGCCAACGTAACGACTTTGTTATCAAACCATTTGACAACGGCAAGTTTATTATCGTTGCAAATGAGCTGATGACTTGCGCCTCTGCCTTTTTTCGCTAAAGCCTTGTCGGTAGTCATTTTTGTATCACAGCCTCTCAAGCAATTCTTTTTTATAGTTCTCAAACTGAAAATGCCATAGTCCTCCCTTAAGTGACGAATCAATTCTAAGGATGTAAAAAAGTTATCAAAGTAAACTGTTGCAGGTTTATTTTTTACAGTTTGACACAATGCTAAGACTACTTTTGTCCCAAGACCTAAGCTGTTTTCGTAGTCCGAAAAACAATGATTCCTAAAAGTATCGTCGTCAGCATAAGGGATAAAATCATAGACTACGCCAGAGACCCCCGCACGAATAAAAATTTTAAATCCCCATTTCTTCGGTTTCTTCGGAAGTTATTGTCTCCTCCTCCTACTTCCAGCTCTAGTTCCTTTGTAGGGGACCATCATCTCGTCTATACTAAAATACCCTTCTTCTTCGAATTGTAAACAGTTCAGTCGGATCCGTTCTAGTATTGGACGAACTTTGAAATACCGATCGTCATTCATACTTGAGTTGTCGCAAAAATGGAGGTACCTTCTAATTTTTTCATATTTTCTTAGTGGCATAACATCAGCAATTTTAGAAAACCTAAGCCTATTACTCCAATAATCACGATAAGAGGGCAACTGAACAACACCCATTAGTATCGTTATGGCAATAAAATCTTTTATATCTTCATTGGTGACATTGATACTTTTGGTAGCTGCACATTGTACTGAATACAAGTTAGTATTATCGGCGATGAGGTCAACTATGTCGTCGGAAAAAAAGTTCTAAAATAATCTAAAGGCGTTTTCGCTGTGGCTTCTAAAGGGGGTTGATATTCAGGTAACTCAACTGTTGCAGTGTGTTCAAATTTTGCAGATTTCCATTTAAATTTTAAAGGTTTCCTAACAAATTTCTTTACTCGTTTGGTTGTAAGTCGAGGCACAGTATTAGCTGCTCTTTTTGAACAAGTTTTATTAGCTGGCGAGTCTAATGGTGACAAAACGGATGAAACTGAATGTAGCATGAAAGGGAGTTGTTGTTGAGGTTGACCAGTAGGAAACATTTCTTGAATAACAGGAGATAGTGGACCGGTATCTTCATCGGATAAAATTGGGTTTTCTCGTGCTAGTCCTACATTTTCAGGCTCAACATTTTCGTCTTCATCGGAACTTGAGAAAATGTGCATGCAATCTAAAGATGATGGATATGATCTCGGTTCAGAACTACAATACGTCAAATCGTCATCATCATCATTGGGCTTCTGAAACAACATTTCTTCTTCAGAGGCACTGCTGCTATCTGAAGAAGCTGCTTTTTCAGGTGGTACCAAAGCCATTATTTTTTGCGTTCTTTGCCATTTTAGCTTCATCTGAAACAAGCAATGCAAAAACAAACATGTAAAACCGCACCCAAAGCATAAATCAAATACCAAATATAAGATATTTACCAAATATAAGGTATCGGACGAAAGTCGAAACTGAAAACAAAAAGAACAACTAAGCTCAACATATTTTAGGAGAACAGACGTTCTCGGTCGTTTAAACGTTCTTTTTGGTAAATTATAGATTGTACCTGTATATTTTGCAAATATATATATAGTTTAATTCGAAAAGAAACGTTATAAAAAAACGCAAATGAAATAAAAAACACTGTTATAAAATAAATCGTCAATATACCTACTAAAGGGACAGCGTTGTCTGTCAACAACATATATAACTCACATTACTTTTCTCAATACTTCGCAATGTAGGTGCCCTACAACATACTCTTTTACAAACATATATTTCCTTCTTTACAAGTAATTACTATAGGTTTTACACACAAATTACAACAGTATTTTGTATCACTACAATTCTTTTTACTATTGATTCTGCCGTGGCGTTGTCTCGATCTATTTTTTTTTTGTAACAACGAAATGGAGTCGTGGCTTTTTTAGTGTTTTTAAAAATAGTACTGTGAAGTAAGTTAACTAATCTGTAACATGTATGTTTTCTACGAAACCAATAAAATATTTCCAGGAGTTCCTTTGGAACTACCTTACTAGCACGCTATTTTTTTGTAATTCTATAATATTATTATCATGATCATAAGTCGTATCCTTAACATTATAATCTTTTTCATTTGTTCTTTTGCCATGCTCTATGTTCAAAACATTATCATTAAAAACTTATATTATATTTAACATTATCTTTAAAAACTTATATTTTATTTTATTAAAACTTATTTTTGTTATTTTATGAATGTTTTCTTGTTTTTGTGTCATCCTTACATTATTATTGTAATCGATATTTTTTAATTCCATGCCATTGTCTTCATGAATCTGTTCCTTTTCACTATCAGAAATAAAACACTCATTTTCTGAAGAATTATGCAGGGAATATTGTTCATCAATATCTGTATCTGTGCTACTATCATAACTATTTTTTGGCTTACGTACAACTGCTCCAATAGAAAATTTCCTTTTCGGCGTAATGCACTTTTTTGTTGAGTACATGTTCTGGAACACGATGCCATTGGGTTTTTGTAAATATCTTCATATGCAACAGCGTTAGTCTGAGCTTGGTTTGCTTTAAATAGTTAAGTGTCTGGTTTAACAGTATTAAGCGAAAATGGGCCAACTTTATGTAAATCATAGAATGCTTGTTTTCCAACGTGTTTTTTATATCAGCCAAAATTGTTATTGTTGGTTTTTAGATTTTGTAATTACACTTTTTGAGTCTGTCTCTTGTTTTGTTAATGTGGCTAGTTGCCTACAGAGTATAGAGTATCTGTGCACCTGATTGCGGATTAAATTACGTGCTGCAAGAATCCAATAATTCTGACGCAAGATTGACATCAGCAAGTCGGGGCCAGCGTGAGAATTCAATTTATGATGGTAATCAACTAATAAATTCATGATATGGTCTTTACGCGGTGAAACTATAGGGTGCCGTTTATCGAAACTCAACTGCGAGTTGGACAAGCGTCCACCTACCCTGACGATTCCATCTTGTAAAAATGTAATGTAAGCAGTCACAAAAATCTGATTTAATTCTTGTTTGTGAACAAAAACAGCTTAAACTGCGATATGATATTGTGTTTTCTAAATTCATGTTAATTACTTGATGTAATATTATGGTCCCTGGTACAGGTATTAAGTCCATTTTTTGTATTTGAATGATATCTTCTGGGATTTAGAATAATTTTATTTGAATCCCAGATTTCTTCAACAGCTCAAATGCTGATTCAGCGTTCGTAATATCTGATTCATAAGCTACTAAGGAATCCATTTCTCTTTTGATGGTACAGCCTATGCCGTCGGCAGCGCCCTTACCGTGGGATGCTTCAAAAAAGTTCCACGTAGCTCTGAAGCCATACATTGTAGTGTATTTTGCAAAGAAATAAAAAATCTTTTTTTGCCTATACTGACTTGTACGGCCGTCGGAAAAAAATGGACTATATCGACAGTGGGATAGTGATCTCTAATGTAATTCAAAATCGGTTTTAGATGTTCCCAAATAGCTTCCGGACCATGATAATTATTTGTAGAGATAGAACAGAATGGAAGAGGATCACGATTACTATAGATTAAACTAGTATGGAGGGTAATCTGATTTCGAGATGCATCAAAATGCATTGCTTGAATTTCTGTGTTCAGTTCGGTGGCATAATTTTCGAAGAAATCGATGTGTATTGATACTGTGTTATTATCTAAATTTTTAATACACCGTTGGTGCTCAATATACTGACGATGAATGTTGTAGTCTTGTTTTATAAACTAAGACAATTCTTGGGTAAACGCTTCAACCAAATCTTTTAATATTCCAAGTTTTTATAATTTTTTTCGTTATTTTTCTTTCATTACTATTTACCTTATCAGTATATTCATGTTTTTGCATCGACCATTCTTTCCATTTCACAATGTCTTCTAGATTTGTCTCATCTAAGTTGAATTCTAAGGACTTCTTTTCACAAGTAGAACATTCTCCATAGGAGCATTCTCTTGATTTTGGATTACATAAAATTAAGGAAAGTATTTCATCAAGAGAGTGACTTTTGATCAAACCCAAGGATTTTAGAACTTTTACCTTCATAAGTATATTTTCATTCTTTATGCAAGCACATGTTTCTCGCCTGTCAACTTTATCTTCATATGCAATTAATAAACTGAAATATCAAGTTATTTGGGATTGAAATACAAAATACGTTAGAATTTTTCGAAAGGGATGATGTAAGTCGGGCCACGGCGGGCAAGAAAGAATTTAAAACTTTACATAAAGACAAGAGACAGAGAAGGTATTTATAGAACACTTTAGAAAATCTATTTAAGAAATATAAATCTGAAGAAGGTAAAGTCAAATTGACGACGTTTAAAAAATACGGACCATTCTACATTTTACCACCTAAAATGGTCTGTATTTTTTAAACGTCGTCAATTTGACTTTACCTTCTTCAGATTTATATTTCTTAAATAGATTTTCTAAAGTGTTCTATAAATACCTTCTCTGTCTCTTATCTTTGTGTAACGTTTTAAATTCTTTCTTGCCCGCCGTGGCCCGACTTACATCATCCCTTTCGAAAAATTCTAAGGTATTTTGTATTTCAATCCCAAATAACTTGATATTTCAGTTTGTACTTTTCAACGATAGAACCATCTACTACACTCTTAATAACGCGTTTAGAATTATTATTTCGTGTGGTTTTGTAACACTGTTTTAAAGAATATACTAAAACATTATGCTCCAAAAGTTGTTTCTTAACTTTTTTCTTCTTCTATAGATATGTTTGGTAAGTTTTGGTTAACCTGCCTCGGTTCTTTAAACACTATATATACACGTGAGGCCTTCGGGTCATGTTGACCCGATTTCAAGAATATGAAGCAATTGTTTTAAATTAAATACAAAATCTAATTATTTCTAAAACACATTTATTTAATAAAAATAAGGATACAATAAACAACTATATTTGTATGTTACTCATTTTCTTGGCAACACAAAAGGCATAAAATTTCAGAATGTTTCGGACATATATGTTTCTTACATTTTTTACAGATTTTTGGAGTTTTTACATCTTTTGAAGATGGACATATACTATACCTTTTTCTTTTATTGGAACTCTGAATAGTGGAAGTATTCGTTGTCTCAGTAACAGCTGACTGCACTCGTAGTACTAATTCCAGTGAAGCATTTCTCCGAGGAAGAGTTTTCCTACGCTCGATGTGATAATTTACCAATTCCATGGCTAATTTCTCTTTAAACAACCGTCATTGTACTGTTCTCTTCTGTTTCCAGTCTGGGTGGGTGTCACAGTATAATACGTAAGCATTGAAACACGAAATATCAGTCATATTACGAAATATGGCTATTGGCCACCTTCTAGTCATTCGTTTACAACTATAGGCCGATACCATTTTGTCTAGAAAATCAACAGCACCCTTTGTTGCATTATAGTCCATGATCATTTTTGGTTTCTTCTGCTCCGATTCATGTATTTCTCTTGTTGTGATTTGTGCTCAACAAAATTACATTTTTGTTTTTTTTTTCGGAATGTATGAGACAAGAACCATTTTTGAATTTAATGCAAAAGTAGATGAAAACAGAGGTTCCTTCGTATCCAAAAGATCTACGGGTATCTGTCGCTTATTTTTCCGTAAGGTTCCAAGAATGGTAAGTTTACGATCTAAAAGTTTTTCAGCTAATTCATAAGATGTAAAAAAATTATCACATGTAAGGTTGTAGCCCTGGGAACCTTCTGTCAGATCCAAAACTACACGCATTCCTTGAAATTTTTCCGGAGCACTTCCTTGGAGTTTTCCAGTATAACTGTCACTACCCCTGTCACTGTCACATAATATCCAAAATTGTATGCCATATTTACTTGGTTTGCTTGGCATATATTGTCGGAAAAGACTTCGACCTCTAAATGAAAGTAACTGTTCGTCATTTGTGATATTTATATTATAAAACATAGGTAACAGCTTCAACCATTCATCCCACATATCTCTCACAGCTGCTAATTTGTCACTTTGTTTTCTTGCTTCTCGGTCAGAACGTTTATCAAAACGCAAAATCGCAGAAATTTGTTTGAAACGTTTCAGGGACATTGTTGCCCGAAATATAGGTCTTCCATAAGTTTCGGACCATAAGCTTTCTAAACTTTCATCGTTAGACTTGAAAACTTGAGCCGTAGTAGCTCAGATGGTTAACGCTCGCTGTAAGTATAACAGAACGCGAGCGACCCGGGTTCGATCCCCGCCGGCACCAATGAAATTGTTAATTGCAATTTTAAGTGTTGATTTACCACGTGCTCGGCGGTGAAGGAAAACATCGTGAGGAAACCTGCATGTCTGAGGAATAAGAAAAAATAATATTTCGAAGACATGTGAAGTTCGCCAATACGCATTGGGGCAGCGCGGCGGACATTTCCTTGCCCTAATATATATACCATAATAAGAAATGAGTGGGACGTATATAGGCTGTAACTTTACTTTTACTTTACTTCACTTGAAAACTCCAGCAAAAATAAGAATACCTAGATATGCATTTAACTCCGTTTCGTCTAACGCTTCCTATCCATTTCCGAAACGTGAAGAACCTTCTATATTTGTTTGTTTCAAAATTATAGATTTTATAGGCTTATTTAAAAATAAAACAAAAGAACTTCTACGTGTATTTATGCGATTAGAAGCATACCTGGTAATGCCTGGTGTAAGTTTTATTAGGTTTGCACTACTCAAACGACCTCTGACTTCTAATGGGGTCTTGAGCGTACAAATTCACAATTTTTTGATAGCATTTGGTTTTCATTAGCACTGGTATTGGTAACGTATCTTGAAAGAGGCTCCTCATCGCTATTTGTTTCGTCACTACTGCTTTCACTGTATAAACTGGGTTGAATATTATCGGTTGGATTTTCATCCAAACTGTTCTCCGTTTCACTAATTATTTCATATTCGGAATTTATATCGTAGTTTACGATTTGCGAAATCGCAGAATCAGTTAAACAACGAATGAATCAAATAAAAGTAACTGTCACACGTAAATAATGTAATCTACCGGCATACTAATGTAGACGCGACGTGACGTCATCGACGCCAGGTCTCTAGACAATGTGACCGGGTTGTATGAATGAATTATTTGATGAAACAAAAGAATATTTGTCAAAATTAAAAGTGGATAATCGGAATATATTGTCGCACAGACGAAAAACACCAGCAATTGGCTTTATAATAGATATTTGCTATTCCACTAACTTGGCTACTGATCTTTTTGAAGAGAATGCTTTAAAACATCTATTAACGCACCAAATCTCACAAGATCATCTTGAATTATTTTTTCTTGTATTAGAGCTTGTGGGCGTACAAACGATAACCCAGATGCCCTTCAGTTTATGTACACAATGCGCAAATTGTTGCTCAGAAATAGCACTAAACCCAGCATAAATGCTAATTGTACTAATGATGATTACTATTCCTCACCTATATTTGAGTTTAGTGCAAAGAGATCGTCATTATCTCATATGCAGGACTCGAGTCCACAAAAAAATAAAAAAAATATAAAATTGACTATGTTAATAGAAAAAACGAATGTATCACATTACAAAAACTATAGTTTGTACTATATATGGGTACATTGTTGGCAAAATGCCTAACAAAATTACGTGCGCTTACTGTAAAGCCATCTTATTGACAATAAAGGACCAAGATCATGATTACATAGTTGATGTTTGCCAGTTTTCATCATTTACGGCATTCGACGGTAGAGGTGGCCTAAAGTATGCCTCTAAATTAGTGTTCGAAATTGTAAATTATGCTGGAGGAAATGTTTCTTTTGTTATCTTCACATCTAGGAGATAGTTTGAAGAAAAAATACATGTTAAATATAATTACACAATACTTTCACCCTCGACTGAAGACGTTTCTTCATCCTGTTCAATCGTACGCCAATGAATCGAATCATCAATATGAATGAATTAAAGGTATTGTAAATAAATATCTGAATATGAAAATAGAAACACACGCAAAAGATTTTTACGTTTTAATTATTTTATTGTACATATATAATATTTCCTATGTTATTCATTTAGTTTACGCTAAGGCGAGTTTCTCGTCAGATAACGAGATTATTTATTGTTCCAGATTCTAAAAGGCAGAAGTTGTTTCCTTATGTCGTACCGTCTCAGAATATTCCTAAAAGAAGCTCTGATAAAGAAGTACCATTAGCCCAAAAAATAAAATCAATTACTCGAGAAAACAGGGCTGATATTAGACACAGGAAAATAGTGGAATCAAATAAAGAGCTTGGACTTGCTATTGAGAATGAAGAAACTAAATTTGAAGATGGATTTGAGGACAATAATATAACTGATAACAACAGTCATCGTCATGTCATGACTTCATCGACACAAGTCAATTTAGTGGATTACAGAAATTATCGTCCCCGAGAAAATTGGAGTATAGCTGACATTCTTTGTGACAAAGAACCTTTGGAAAAGTGCACTCAAATAAATTTTCTTCCTATGTGGGAAGAGGATAGATCAGCTTTAAAGCAATTAACCCTCTCAGATTTACTCAGTAGTGATATGTATTTATTTACTTTTACGGGTATTCATTTAATAGAACTTTTAGAAACATTGGTGACTTGTGTTAGTGAATTGGCCTTAGATGCTCCAACAAATAAGAAAATGTTATCTGTAAGAGACAGAGTTATTTTGACAATGGTAAAAATTAAACAAAATATGTTATTTAGAGCCATTGGTGTTTTGTTTGGTATAAACTGGCAGACATGTTCTAATTATTTTAATAATATGTGCCCCATGCTGAGTAGAGTACTCAAAGTTGTTATTCCTTGGCCTGATATCGAAATGATACGTAGCAACCTACCTAAATCATTCCAAAAATATAAAAATACAAGAATTATATTAGACTGTGCTGAAACTGTGTTTAAAATGTAGAAAATTGACATACTCTCAATATAAAAAAAAACAATACAGCGAAGTTTAATATTGGAATAACTCCTTCTGGCCTTATAACTGAAATAAGTGCATCTTATGGTGGTCGAGCATCAGATAAACATATTGTAAATGAATCAGGAATCTTAAATAAATGCGAGTTTAATGATGGAGTGATGGTGGATAAAGGATACAGGATTGAATCCGAATGTAATGAAGTTAGTTAAGGATATTAATTGAATAGTTAGTACAAATAACATTTGATTAATTATGCTATGTATTTACATATTAATGTTCTTGTTACAGCGTCTGCTTCAGCTTGTTAGGTCTCCTTTCTTGAGTCAGAAAAAGCAGATGACCAAAGAAGATGCAATCCGCACTGCAGAGATTGCACGGGCAAGAGTGCATGTTGAGAGAGTGATACAGAGATTACGACAATATAAACTTCTATGTGGACCATTACCATGGTCACTGGCGCCTTATTTTGTACGTATATTAATTATTGTTGGTGGTCTTACAAATTTGGGTCCACCAATTATTCACATTGATAAATTTATGTAGTTATTGAAAATTATACCTAAAAGCGAAACAAGGGAAGCTTATGAATAGGAAGGGTATTGTAAGAGTGGCAATAAATTTTTACAGTGAATAAATAATTTAGTACACAGAGTTGTATTTATTTTTATTCAAATTCAGTCATAATTTGATCTATACTCGTTAACTATTCTAGGAAGAAATTTCTCAAAATAAACATTAACAAGACATACACAAATTTCCAAAATATGATTTTCATCAAATGAAACTCTTCTTACAGCTAAATCCTTTCCTATTGCATAGTAAACTAAATAATCACATTCTGTAATACCTGACAATAACATACCTACTTGCATTTGAGTATAATGCTGAGTATTTTTTTTTCAAATTTTGATTTTTATCCAATATAGGAATTGCATACATTTCTATAAGTTCATCTGCAGTTAAACGAGTTCCTTCCTTTAATGTCTTAATCTCAATATTTCTAAGAAAATTTCCATCTTTATCCATGGCAGTACCGTCTAGACTTGCAGAAAGCCATGGTAATTCTGGTCGAACTAGCAATCCAGACTCTAAAATCATGCAGCTATAATGCTCTCCATATAAATCTCTTGCGACTGCTTCACAGCGAAGGCCTCTGATAGTATCTTCATTCCCAAGGAAATTACTGTGAAAAACCTCTTGATATCTTTTATCCCAATCAGCATTTTTATTAGAATAATAAGTAAACTGGGCTCTCGCTTTGGAGGCTGTTAGTCTTACTTTTCTAGCTTTATGCCAAGAAGGAGTACCCTGCTCAGCATTGATTATTTCTGTACTTTGGCCTAATGATACAGCTACATATCTGTTGTAAAATTCAAATACATTTACTTCACATGTCTTCAACTTTTCTTCAGTCAGTTTTCTTAATACATTCATTACCCGCCACGAATTAAAAGTCAATAGTTTTTCAGGAAATTTTGTCTTGTCCACACTTCTACTAATTACCGTTTCACCATAATCAACAACTCCATCACCTCTTCGCATGAGACTTGTAAATAAAGAATATTCACTGTTTGGTGTGCCTGAAATAAACAACATAATTTTTGAAACTTCATTTTAGTTTGTAACTGTACATTCAATCTGCAAATATAATATTTTTTATCAAATTGATGTTTTCCAGGTAGGTGCTATATACTCTTATGCTTTACAAGTATTTACTCTGCATTAACTTCATTCTCCAACGACTTTCCATCTCTTTAGTGACTTCTGGTTTTGTTTTCACATAGATGTCCCTCTGTCCTTTCACATGGCACATTTCAGACAATGATTTTGCTTCGTATTCCTTCAATGCTGTAGTTTTAAGTGTACCCCATTGTTATCTCAATGTCGGTACAACTCAGGTCCTCCAGATCTGCCTCCTCAGTTCTGAAAAAGAGAAAAATAGCTAATCATTTACAATTATGGTCTAATTTTAGTACTTATATAGGTAAGTACTTTACATTATCTATTACCTGGCAGTAAAATTGTTACAGACAGACAGCCAGAGTAAATTAGGTACCTACTTTAACATTTATAGTATTCATAGTGCATATGGATGAGGTAGGACAAATGGATATAAAAGTTATTGATCAATTCACAAACCTTGAGAGATAAATCAAAATGAAAAATAAAATGACAGCTAATATGTGTTTACATTTCTCTGAAGCTCCAGCAGGGCAATCGCAGACCTTTGTGACTTCTTGTTCATTATCACCAACTAATCTATTTCCATATTCTTGAGATACATTTATCCACAGTTTTATAGTGGCTGGATTTTTTGGAATTTAATCCCGACGTGCGCAGTACCAGGGCTTGTACGTGAATTATGTTATTATTTTTCTCTTTTTTTCCAACCGAAATCACCATTCCACTCCGTAATAATTCTTCACCAGAACGCATTGGTTTTGTGTATCCTGCAGACGCATTAATTACATCGACTATTGACAACATAATTATTGTCTTAAACAGCAAAATGCCACATAAATCTTATTTGTATTTAATATTTATGTTTTTCCCTGACGTTAACTGTTACGAAAACTGTCAAAGTGTCGTTCTTAGACTGATTCACAATTTTTACACTAGAGGCGCTAGTTAGAATCTTTGCATCGTCAATAGCATTGTTAATATTCTTTTTATAAAAAAAAATTAAAAAAAAAATTGTCAGCCATTTTGAATTTTCCATTAAAACTACTGTCGCACATAATACTTTTCATTTTATTTTGTATACCTGAATTGGCTATGTAAGAAATTTGGTGAAGGATCCTTTATCTGGGGCTTCTAGTCATCACGTCATACAGGACAACTTTTAAAATTCACTTTTCATACACAAACGATCAGTCAGAAAATCATTGGATAAAAAGGCCTTGAACCCATTTGATATTCTTGTATGCTGTAATTACTTTCTATTATTTAATTCAAGACGGATCCTGTCTCCATAAGATAATATTTAATAAACAAAATGACAGTGGTATACAGGGTGTTAGTGTAAACACCGTTATCCTTGAAACCAGCGGTTTGGTTTCACTTATAGATCGTAAATTCAATGAAAAATAACAACATTTTTTTAAGTCAAATCACAATTTTTCCTTACAATTATTTAACCCTAGGCATATACAAAATTCTAGTCAACATATCGTAGCGGCAGTTATTAGCGCGGGATCTCGCGCGCAGCTGAGCGGTTAAGGCCATCAGCCGACAGTCCATAGCGTCACTGTTTCAGTGTGTCAGTCGGTCACTGCTTCGGTAGCGAATGTACGTGTAAATTTAAATTATAACCGCGCCGCGCGCCGTGTCGACATTCAACGCCGCTTATTTGTGTTTTAGGTACCTAGTTGTAGTTTTGTGCAAGTGTGTTTTAGTTTGTTATTATGTCGTACACAAACTTGCAGTGGACTGAAATGGTCCGACTTTATGCCGTAGCTGGTGACAATGTGAACGAGGCTCGACGAATGTACGCAGAATCACTATCTGGACAACCTGTGGCAAATCGTGAAACTTTGTTGGCGACCACGCAAAGGTTACGTAGCTATGGACAGTTTACCGTGCCGGTTCATGCTCAGGGGCGTGGCAACCACCAGCTGTCAGTTACCCTTCAGGAACGTATCTTGGATTTCTTCGCGGAGAACCCAGAGGAGAGTACCAGGCGGGCGGCCTGTATTTTCGGTGTTTCTCACTGGACATTTGGAAAATTCTACACATTGATCGTCAACATCCGTATCATTTTCAGCCGGTTAAAGAGTTAAATGAAAACGACCACATACCGCGGGTGGTATTTTCGCAATGGCTTATTCAAAACTTTGATAACGTTTCCATTTTATTTACGGACGAAGCAGTGTTTACAAGGTCGGGCATTTACAATGTTCGTAATGAACATTACTGGAGTCGGGTAAACGAACACCGAATACGGCAAAACAATTATCAGCACCGTTTTTCCGAAAACGTGTGGGCGGGAATTCTAGGCGGCAAACTTCTTGGACCTTATTTTATTGACGGCCATTTGAATGCACAGTCGTACAGGGCTATTTTATGACATGTATTTGACAGGATGTTGGAAAATGTGCCTCTTCGTTCACTGAGAAACCTCTACTACCAACATGACGGTGCCCCTGCACATTTTCAGCTGCAAATCAGGGCTATGCTGGATGAGGAGTTTCCTGGGCGATGGATAGGACGTGGAGGGCCAGTGGCGTGGCCAGCGCATTTGCCCAACCTTACCCCGCTGGACTTTTATCTTTGGGGAGAAGTGAAGCGCCGAGTGAATGCAACTAAGTTCCGTAATACGTCGAAACTCAAAAGGCGAATTCTTAGTGTGTTTCGAGACTTGAAAAATACACTGTTGTGCTTCCTAGAGTGCGTAACAATCTACGGAAACGTGCGGAGGCATGCGTGGCTGTAAAAAGGAGATCAAAATGGGATTCATTTACGAGGATTTTATTTAATAGGTAAGTGTAAATAATCAATCAATCAGGCTACACATCAAGCTATACAAAACCAGTTTGTCTTGGCCTCGCTTTGTATGATCTTTCCGTACAATGAACGGTCAGCTTATGCTTCAAATGCCCTTTGCGTTCCAGGGCCGCGGTATCCTGCTAAGACAGTCCCAGGACCCCGGGTCCTCGATTAGAGGGTTAGGCGATTAGGCCCGTCAATAAAATAAGGTCCAAGAAGGCAGAACCGGCACGGTAAACTGTCCATAGCTACGTAACCTTTGCGTGGTCGCCAACAAAGTTTCACGATTTGGCACAGGTTGTCCAGAGAATGATTCTGCGTACATTCGTCGAGCCTCGTTCACATTGTCACCAGCTACGGCATAAAGTCGGACCATTTCGGTCCACTGCAAGTTTGTGTACGACATAATTACAAAATAAAACACACTTGCACAAAACTACAACTAGGTACCTAAAACACAAATAAGCGGCGTTGAATGTCGGCACGGCGCGCCGCGCGGTTATAATTTAAATTTACACGTACATTCGCTACCGAAGCAGCGACCGACTGACACACTGAAACAGTGACGCTATGGACTGTCGGCTGATGGCCTGTATACCACTGTCATTTTGTTTATTAAATATTATCTTATGGAGACAGGATCCGTCTTGAATTAAATAATAGAAAATAATTATAGCATACAAGAATATCAAATGGGTTCAAGGCGATTTTTTCCAATGATTTTCTGACTGATCGTTTGTGTATGAAAAGTGAATTTTAAAAGTTGTCCTGTATGACGTGATGACTAGAAGCCCCAGATAAAGGATCCTTCACCAAATTCTTACATAGCCAATTTAGGTATACAAAATAAAATGAAAAATATTATGTGCGACAGTAGTTTTAATGGAAAATTCAAAATGGCTGACATTTTTTTTAATTTAAAAAAAAAGAATATTAACAATGATATAAACATTACTAATATTCCCCTTAACCACTCGTGGTAGCTTAAATTGCTTGTGTTACGAGTGGTTCACGCCAGTAGTCGAATGGCGGATTCGAACCCACGACCTTTTAGAGTTCGCGGTCCGCTCCCTGCCATTGGGCTACTGTCGCTTAAATGGATTAAATTTAATGGATAAAAAGGATTCTTAGGTTATTATATATAATAAAATTATCAATGTCATCATAAGGTACAAAACAAGTACAAACAACACAAACTTGTCATGAAACATCGCGCGCCTACTAGTACATTATACATTTATACATTATTAAATAATATTGTTTTATGTAATCTTTGCCGCTTTGAAATACGGCTCCCCATAATTCGAAGGCTGTCCTCTTTTGCGTGTGTTTCTATTTTCATATTCAGATATTTATTTACAATACCTTTAATTAATTCATATTGATGATTCGATTCAGTGGTGTACGATTGAACAGGATGAAGAAACGTCTTCAGTCGAGGGTGAAAGTATTGTGTAATTATATTTAACATGTATTTTTTCTTCAAACTATCTTCTAGATGTGAAGATAACAAAAGAAACATTTCCTCCAGCATAATTTACAATTTCGAACACTAATTTAGAGGCATACTTTAGGCCACCTCTATCGTCGAATGCCGTAAATGATGAAAACTGGCAAACATCAACTATGTAATCATGATCTTTATGGTCCTTTATTGTCAATAAGATGGCTTTACAGTAAGCGCACGTAATTTTGTTAGGCATTTTGCCAACAATGTACCCATATATATAGTACAAAATATAGTTTTTGTAATGTGATACATTCGTTTTATCTATTAACATAGTCAATTTTATATTTTTTTATTTTTTTCTGGCCTCGAGTCCTGCATATGAGATAATGACGATCTCTTTGCACTTCTAAACACAAATATAGGTGAGGAATAGTAATCATCATTAGTACAATTAGCATTTATGCTGGGTTTAGTGCTATTTCTGAGCAACAATTTGCGCATTGTGTACATAAACTGAAGGGCATCTGGGTTATCGTTTGTACGCCCACAAGCTCTAATACAAAAAAAAAATCAAGAGGATCTTGTGAGATTTGATGCGTTAAAAGAT